TATATGTATGCCTGCACCAAGACTAAAATTCTTTCCCTTTGATGCTGAACAATTGTTCGTCTTTATTGCAGAAGGATTGTAAATCATTCCTTTTTTTTTTCCCCAAATGGCTTCGGGGGTCTCTCTTTAGATGGTTTATTATGTTGACTGACTGACTCATACTTTTTATTTTTATTATTTTGCCTTGTGTTTCCTGATTAAATTTATACATTTTTTGTTTAATTCTCTCTCCTGGTACTGAACACTGCTTTGAACTAGTATTGAAAATAATAATATGTAAATGCTTAAAATAAATAAATAATATTTGGAAATTGTTACAACCTTTTTCTGGACCATACCTTGAAACTTTAAAGCAAGGAAAGTTCACAGATCATGTCTATCCACAAGATGAATGTCACTGTCGTCTCATTATTCTGGCAAATTTGATAAAGGTAGCTGAAGTGTAGTACCTTAAAGTTTATTGTGGGCATAGTACATTGACTTTTTATTTGAAATGAAGACACTCAATTATGACCTGGACCAACTTCTTATGTAAGGAAGCAATGCTGAGAGTTAATAAGCCCAGAATGGACATGTCTCATAGAATCAGAGAGTTGGAAGGGACCCACCCCAAGGATCATCTAGTCCAGGGGTCAGCAACCCGCGGCTCCAGAGCTGCATGTGGCTCTTTTACACCTTTGCCGCGGCTCCGGGGTGGATACTAGCGAGGGGAGGAGGTGCATTGTGCGCCCCGACACTCCCCACTGTGGTGGGCGCTGTACTGGCTGTGACGTCGCATGGGGGCGGTGTGTGTGTTAGTCCTTCTTTGGAGGTCTTTAAGCAGAGGCTTGACAACCATATGTCAGGAGTGCTCTGATGGTGTTTCCTGCTTGGCAGGGGGTTGGACTCGATGGCCCTTGTGGTCTATTCCAACTCTATGATTCTATGATTCTATATGCAGCTGTCCCTTATGGGGATCAAACCTGCAACCTCAATGCTGTCAGCACCATGTTCTAACCAACTGAGCTACCAAGTTATGTGTTACCACTGAGCCAAACTCATCTTCACGTGGGATGCTAAGAAGCAGTAGCATGTATCAGCAGAAGAGTATGGTAAACACCATGAGAGTTGGGCCAAATATTCACCAACTGAATTTTTCAAGATAAAAAGTGAGGGGAGGTTTGTAGAGCCCAAAACGTTTCCCAAATATTTGATTTTCCTTTCTCAAGTTTCTCCCCCCTCCCATTTGCCACAATGGTAGTGTGCCCCTCTCTTTCCCCTTGACTGACCCCAGCCATTTAAGGAACAAGTAAAGCTGACTTCACTATATAACCAATCAGAGCTGACAACTTCACAATGTCACAAGCCAATTTAGGGAGACAACAGACGGTTCAGGCTTGCAGCCCACCTGCCCAAACTAACAGGAAGTGAAGCTGTAACTAGATTTTGGCGAGTAGTCTGTGGGAACCATGTTATAAGAACACAAATCTTCCTAGTTTAAGCCACTGTTCTGTTTCCATCTGGATACCTTGGGAAGTTTTCAACTGGGTCATAAAAGCGTAGCCATCCCCTGTTGTTCACTTGGATCAAGTAAAGGGGCTCACATACACACGGGTTTACATACAGAACACACTGTGTGCAATCTGTGGCATTTCTGATTGAAGTCTAGCTGGTAACAGGACTGAGAAACATGTTTGCTTAAGATCCTGGAGAGATGGTGCCTGTGAGAGAGGACAGATGCATGGCAGGGTAAGGTAGTGTTGCCATATGTCTGGAATTTCCTGGACATAGCCGGTATTTGGCCCTTGTAAACAGCATCCGGGTGAGAATCGGTCAAATGTCCTGGAAAATCCAAATGTATGGCAGCCCATGTCAGAAGTGTAGATTTTGGTGAATTTCATTTAAAAAATAGCTCAGAAACTCAACAACTTTGGGCAAAACTAAAAACCCTACAACTTTTGTGTCTGGATTTTCATTTTTTTAAATATGGCAACCCTAGGGTAAGTAGTTTATATCACTGGAAAACTACACCCTATGAAGATTACCTTGTTCAGACTAACAAATACACGTACAGAATTTCAGATGGTGGCACTCAGCACCAAAATTTTTAACGTTCCAGAGAAGCACAGCTCAAGGGACCTGGCATCCTGCCCGATTCCTTACTAAGTGTGGAATGAGCTATTCCAAAAAGCAATCTAACAGAAGCACAGTTAAAGGGATTCTTCTATTACATCTGACAAATAAATATTGTTTATTGGGACTTCGGGTATAATGTACATTTACTGCATCAGTTTTAGGATCACACTAGAAGCCTAAAATGTGGTCTGTAATTATGGCCAGAATAGTTGGGTACAAGATGAAAAAATAAAATAGAGAAGTTTGTGGGCTAAATTCTCGGTACGCTTATAGAAAGAAAGATGTTTTTCCAGACAGCTTGGCAATCCACTGCTGTTCTGGAACGGGAGGGAGGAAGAGCAAGACTTTTAAATTTCTGCTTCCTTTTACCATTCATAATGTATATTGGTGCTACTTACTACTGCCTGAATCACCAGAAATATGTTATAGTCTGGCAGGAAAGTTGCACGCCCCAAGACTTCAGGGATAAAAATGATTGCCCATTGTTTCTCCTCTGCTCAGTGGCCCTGGATTTTGGCAGCATGCTAGAATATTTGTGACCTTTGAAATGAGTCTGACAATCCTGTAGTAAAAGTCCTCATTATCTTAATATACTGCAGGTTTTTGAGGGAGAAAATAAAAAGTAGAAGCTCCAGACAATTTGGCACCAAATGAATAAAGAATAATGTGAAAGTCATGGTTTGCTTTACTGAGGACCTCCGTGATAAGCTATTTGAAAAGGAAATCATCTTTATAGCCAGAATCACTATCTATCTTGCCTCAACTTTCCAGACAGTTGTTTCTTAGGAGACTAGTGTAACAGCCATCACTCTTGCTGTCATGCTGCAGCATTCTCTTCTGTCTTTGAAATATTCTCTGTTCAAAGGTGCCAGCAGGCTGCCCTCTGAGGACTGATGGACTCCAATGCCCATTAGCCCTAGCCAGCGTTGCCAACAGTGATAAAGGGAGCTATAGTCTAGTCACCGGGTTGATGAAGGCTAATCTATACATTCCAAATGCCATACATACATATTCATCAGGACCGTGCCGTCAGTGGACTAGGAGGACTAGGCTAGTCTCCTACATGTTCCCTTAGTTCCTCCTTTCCAAAGCTCAGGAAGGTAAGCTTCTGCTTGGCTTAGGGTGGGAGACGTGAAGCTCACACACCAACGTGCCCCCCCCAAAATCGCCCTTGCAAGCTGGCACCTAGGGCCCTACCTATTCCCCTGTGAAAAATTTCACCACACACCACTGGTATTCACTTACACACATGCAATCTGAAGAACGTGATGCTCAAGGTTCATATTTCTCAGGGTAAGGATGGGACTGAGTTCCAGAAAATGGGATGAATGCCTGGCATGGAATCACTTGACTTCTTGTACACAGTCCAAATCCTGGAAGGGTTAATGTACTCACTTGGGCTGATGGGAGTTATCGTAGAAAACATCTGGAAGGCACCAGGTTGGGGAAGACTGAGTGTGCCATGAATCTTTGTTATCCTCCCATCTTGAGATTATTATTTTTTTTGCCCCCCTCCTACTTAGCATCAGGGTGCAATTGATATAAAAGTGGTAGTGTGTGGATAAATTGAGTTGGCTTAGAGGTCTTCAGGTGTTCACAATATGCAAGAGTCCAGTACAGTGAGTGTTACCTCAGCTTACAGACACTTAAGGTTACATACGCTTCAGGTTATAGACTCCGCTAACCCAGAAATAGTACCTCGTGTTAAGAACTTTGCTTCAGGATGAGAACAGAAATTGCACGGCGGTGGCATGGCGGCAGCAGGAGGCCCCATTAGCTAAAGTGGTACCTCAGGTTAAGAACAGTTTCAGGTTAAGAACGGACCTCCAGAATGAATTAAATTCTTAACCCAAGGTACCACTGTAGTTTCTGCCCTTTTAAGTTCGTTGTTTTTCCTTCATGCAACATACAATGCACAACCATGCAATTCCGATCCAGTTTGATGACACTGACTAGATCCAGACTAGTTTAGCTTCACCAAAGTGGCATGTACCTTCAGAACATAAAGGGGTAAAGGGGACCCCTGACCATTAGGTCCAGTCGTGACCAACTCTGGGGTTGCGGCGCTCATCTTGCTTTATTGGCCGAGGGAGCCGGTCATGTGGCCAGCATGCCTAAGCCGCTTCTGGTGAACCAGAGCAGCGCACGGAAACGCCATTTGCACTTTGATGTGCTTTTGAACTGCTAGGTTGGCAGGAGCAGGGATCGAGCAACGGGAGCTCACCCCGTCGCAGGGATTCGAACTGCCAACCTTCGGATTGGCAAGTCCTAGGCTCTGTGGTTTAACCCACAGCGCCACCCGCGTCCCTTCCTTCAGAACATACCAGAAGGCATAAAGGAATGCATTCACCTAGTGGTGCCCTGCAGGCATTGTTGGACTCCAAGTCCCATCATCCCTTATTGTTGACCATGTTTGCTGGGGCTAATGAGACAACATGTGAAGAGCAACAAATTGGCTACCCTTGACCTCGTTTCTTCCCCCATGCCTACGTGTGTATATTCCTGCACATACATAAACACACACAGTATTCACCAGTCAAAAATGCATTATTGTACATGACTGAAAGGGATAAACCAGCTATCCAGTGTCAGTTTATTTATATACTCCCTTGCTGAGAAAATGTTACAGCATAGAAAAAGTCCCCTTCAAACCAAAGACCATGTTCCCTGACCTGAGCCTATGGTGTGTGTTTTTAAATGCTTCTTTAACTTTCTTATCACTGTGTAGAAAGTTAAACTAACCAGGAACATCTGCAGAGTGCTTCATTTTAAATTTACAGTACAGAACTATGCAACTGGCATATGTATATCTTAAATGAGGTGCCACTGACTAAACTCTTTTCTGGGAAAGGAAAAAAAGGAAATGACATGGGATTTTTTTGCAGGGACAGCCATACCTGCCACTCGGAACAGTGGGAACGAGAAAAATGTAAGTATGGGATTCCACTACATTTGGCCATAAGTTTGGTTTTTCTCTTCTCTCTGTCACCCTATTAAATATATATATAGTATGTATGCCAAGGACTAGATGAATGGTTAGAGGACCCAGCTGGGGAACTGCCAAGGGAAGATGGCTCAGAACTCGGAGATTGGTGGTGGGACAACAGCATAGCTGTCAACTTACAGATTTGAAAATAAGGGACCAGCAGTCAAAATAAGGGACCTGCAGCCTCACCTGTTCCAGGCACTCCAGTCTTCCAGTCCTCCTGCAGTCTGGTCAAACTCATGCTGGGTAGCTTCGAGAACACTGTCCAACCAACTTTGTAACCAGAGGTTCAATTGAATAGAATCTGAATCACATGCACCACAAGGCCTATGCAGCCTCAACTTAAGATGGCTCCCCGGCCTGGCTTTGCACTGCAAAGTTTGCAGCAGCACGTGCAACAAAATGGCGTCCAGCATTCAAAAACCCCCTCAGCTTGCATTAACTAGCCACACACAAGGCATGCAAGCTCCACCCCCCAGTCGTTCTTAGACTTCTTATTGGGTGAGCAACACAGCCAAGCAACACAGTTGGAGCCTTGGACATCATTTAAGGAACATTTAAGAGACATCCATCAATAAGGGACAGCAGTGGGACATGGCACTGGAATAAGGGACTGTCCCTTCAAATAAGGGACACTTGACAGCTATGCAACAGGGAGTGGTCAGAGGGGAAAGTGGGAGAGGAGGAGGTGAAAGTGGAGGTGGAAGCTGAAGAGGAAACAGGGCTTAGGGAGCAGGGAAAGCCTGTGGCAGAGAGAAGTTGAGAATCAGAGGCAGGAACCTCCAGTCTTGGAAACTGCTTCAACCTGAGTTGCTGTGCTCATTTGGCCTGACACTCCTATACAGATGATCCTGTTTTGCTAATGAAGAGTTAACTTCAGGTTGCTCGGTGTGAATGACTTAGGCTTGCTCCTGAAAATGTACCATTTCACAACCCCAGAAAAGGCTCTACTCCTTGACTAACCGGGTACTCCTATACACGTCTGCTCATAAGTATGCAAATGTCTCATAATAAACAAAATTTTGTATAGAGTGTTGACTAATATACACATTTTTGTAAGCCCCCCCCCAATATAATGCATTTTAATGTTCACTAATATATGAATTTTTATGCACACTTTACCTTACTACATGCAGTTGTGTACACATTATTTGGCTGAGGAACTGCATTGCAAAATTTAGAAAAATGTGAGTTTTGGAATTGCCGTGTTTCAATTCGCATGTTGCTTCAGAAAGTGCAAATTTTTGAAGTCTGTCTTTAAATGTGAACCGAATCAAATTTATTCCCTATGCCTAGCTAGGTTTAATATAGTCACTTGCTTTAATACCCCACTGTCCATAAGGAGGCATAGGTGGAGAAAAGGGGCAAATGTAAAAGAGCCAGCCCTAATACTCAGCCCACTTTTATTCACAATTTATTAGTTATCCACAGAAACCAGGGATTGCATATTGGAGGTGCACATCCCCATTCACAACATCTACTCATTCAAACATGTCAACAAAGCTCAGATGAGTCTTGCAGTGCACCCAGGTGCACAGCTGTGTTGAGAGCATTTGTAGAAAGCTGCTTACACATGTAAGCAAAAGCGTCTGAATCTCTCTTGCTGGACTGGAGCAAGTACATCTTCTCTTTCTATTCACAAATGCAAGTTTTCATGGAAATATATCATTTTGTTCTTCACAAAATAGAATGGATCTTGCCAAAACCACTAATCAAAAACTGACTTAATAACATGCAAGGAATTCTAAAATCAAGAGAAAATGGCCTATCAATCAGTAATATACAATGAAGCAAAAACATTGATGAGCGATCCAATGCAGATGTTAGAAAATGTACACTGGAATTTGCCAGGCAGCTAGGAATTACCATCAATCAATACAATCATTTATTTAACAAAATTCATATACTACCTAACTGTAATTAAAACTTCTAAGAGGTTATAAACAATCTAAAATGTAACCTAGTAGGAAAGCTGGACATGGGTCCCTCTATTTTTCATGCTCATGTGGTAAGTGCTCTTGCTTATGGGGTCAAAATGTTACCACCCATCTACAAGACAGCAGTGCCATCAGGCTTAGGGGTATCCCAAGACTTACAGAAGAACAACAGATCTTTAGGGTAGAATAGGGTTGGGACGCAGGTGGCGCTGTGGTCTAAACCACAGAGCCTTGGGCTTACCGATCGGAAGGTCAGTGGTTCGAATCCCTGCGACAGGGTGAGCTCCCATTGTTCAGTCCCAGCTCCTGCCAACCTAACCGTTCGAAAGCACGTCAAGTGCAAGTAGATAAATAGGTACTGCTCCGGTGGGAAGGTAAATAGCGTTCCGTGCGCTGCTCTAGTTTCGCCAGAAGCGGCTTAGTCATGCTGGCCACATGACCCAGAAAAACTGTCTGCGGACAAACGTCAGCTCCCTCAGCCAGTAAAGCAAGATGAGCACCACAACCCCAGAGTCGTTCGCCACTGGACTTACCGGTAACCATCAGGGGTCCTTTACCTTTACCTTTTTTAGGGTTGGTCAATAGCTCAATAACGTCAGGGTCTGCTCAGTGAGTGGCAATGCTTGCTGACTTTGGGGTGGGGGGGCAGAAAACCAGGGTAGAGAGAAGATGGAATGAAATGGCAAGAATCTTGAGCAGAAGCTCTCCAAACATTTTGCTGCAGGCCCCATTTGTGTGATTCAACAGGACATTTGCAGAAGAACTTCCCAATGAACTGGGAAGAGCTACAGCTCAATTGTGGAGTACATGCTTTACAAGCAAACAGTCCAGAGTTCAATCCTTGGTATGTCCAGGGTGGATCTGCATCCACAATACAGATCAAGATGGTTCACTGGTCTGACTCAGTAGAAAGCAACTTCCTGTGTTCCTATGATTGTGACCCTCGTCTAAACCACAGAGTTCTCTTGAGATCTGTACAGAAAACAGATCTGCATTCTTTATTTTCAGCCCCTGTCCAAGCTGACACAAATGAAGTGAACATAAATATACTGTTAAAAGAGGTCAGTGCTGTTTTCCCTAATGAAAACAGGGACATGTGCCTTGCTGAAATGGTACCAGACCAGTAGCTAGATATGTTCACAGCCATCAAAGATGTACTCACAAACCACCTAATAGGGTTGCTTTTTCAAAGAATTAGTCATCAGATGAAAGTACTTAGCATATAAAAGAATGAGCAGCACTATGTACTTAAAGAATCTGGAAAAACCTCAGTTCAGACAGAAATCGCAATCAACAAATAGCTAAAATATTACATATATGAAAAACTTCTTAAAAGCTTCATCCTGCCCTGCCCACCAGTTTAAGTTTGCAGTTTTCACTTCTGAAAAGTCTGTTTTCTTCCTGCTCAACATGGTGATGCTGAATAGGTGCTCTCTAATCTTAAAACACTGGAAGAGGGAAAATAGATGAAGATGGTTCTTCTCTGTGAACTGTTCAACCAAAAGAATAAAGGTGCACCCCTGGGAGAGCTTTTGCTCACAATGTCACCGATTTAATACATCTGTCACTCATAGAAATGCTATAATTATAGCATAATTATGAGCAGATTGACAGATGGCCGAGATGAAAGTTCACTAGTAAACTTTTTCAGTTTGAGGGCAGATGCTATTATGAGGGGCAAAAGGTCTTTGCAACATGTCCCACAGCACAGCTTTTTCATTGCCTTTTTACCAATTGTTTGTGATTTTGGTGACAGCAGTGATTGCTCTCCCCAGAACTCTTGGGTGTAATCTTCAAACCTTTAAAAACTTTGTCCTTACTCTGTTTTAGCTCCCTCAAATATTACTACACAGCAGAATCTCACCATGAAGCCAAGAGTGGTGCCTCTGCTGCCTCACTCCAGCTTTCAAAAAAAAAATAAATAACGGCACTCCGCAACACAAAGGAGATGATCACTACTATAGTGAGTGGGTTGAACACTTCACCTTATTCATAGCCACCACCTCCAAATATTGTCTTTAAAAAGGGTTGCTAATAGTCTGTGAATGTAGTACAGTGGTACCTTGGGTTACATACGCTTCAGGTTACATATGCTTCAGGTTACAGACTCCGCTAACCCAGAAACAGTACCTCAGGTTAAGAACTTTGCTTCAGGGTGAGAACAGAAATCATGCTCCGGCGGCGCAGCAGCAGCAGGAGGCCCCATTAGCTAAAGTGGTGCTTCAGGTTAAGAACGGACCTCCAGAACGAATTAAATTCTTAACCCGAGGTACCACTGTAATTAAGTGAGGAGGGTCATTTCAGATCAGCCCTATATTGCACCTACAATCCAAATGAAGAAGGTGCCAGTTCCCAGATGGATCACTGTTAATCCTGGGATAGCTCAGTCAGTGGAGCGTTGGACTCTTAATCTCAGGTCATGGGTATTGGGCAAAAGATTCCTGCATTGCTGGGGGTTGGACTAGAAGGGATCAGCAAACTTTTTCAGCAGGGGGCTGGTCCACTGTCCCTCAGACTTTGGGGGGGGCCGGGACTATATTTTGGGGGGGAGAAATGAATGAATTCCTATGCCCCACAAATAACCCAGAAGAAGAAGAAGAAGAGTTTGGATTTGATATCCCGCTTTATCACTACCCGAAGGAGTCTCAAAGCGGCTAACATTCTCCTTTCCCTTCCTCTGTGCGGTGAGTGGGGCTGAGAGACTTCAAAGAAGCGTGACTGGCCCAAGGTCACCCAGCAGCTGAATGTGAAGGAGCGGAGACGCGAACCCGGTTCCCCAGTTTACGAATCTACCACTCTTAACCACTACACCACACCACACCACACTGGCCCAGAGATGCATTTTAAATAAAAGGACACATTCTACTCATGTACAAACATGCTGATTCCCAGACCATCCGCGGGCCGAATTTAGAGGGTGATTGGGCCAGATCTGGCCCCTGGGCCTTAGTTTACCTACCCATGGACTAGATGATCCTCGTGTTCTTTTCCAACTCTACAATTCTAATCCAAATCAACACGATGCACAGATGACTTAATTCGCTAAGCGTTTAGATCCCCTCCAGACATCTTTCTTATTGCACATTAATGATTTGTGTTCATTATGCTATCGGGGAAGTCACATGCAATCCCAGTTTCAAAACTGTTTGATCCTGCAAAACATATGTAGTAGCCACACTGCTTCATTTCCATATCCTATAACTTCCTGCTGAAATCCCATAATTATTTTTTGTCTCTCCGGACAGCAGTAATACCCTAGAACTGGGGAAGCACTGCAGAACAAAGTAAAGCAGAACAAATCCACCACTAACACACAACTATTGTGTCTAGAATATGTTACCAAAATAAGGGGCCCATAGTTTGGGCTGACAAAATGAAAGTTACTATCAGTTGAAAGAAAGTAAGCTTTCCTATAGTGGCTACTAATAGTGACTGGTGGACTGATAAGTGCAGAGAGCTTTTTGCCAAGTCAATAAAAACATGGCACAGCCTATCAAATTAACATGAAAACAGAAGATTCTCCTTTCATGCAGACAGAGATTATGGTAGAGGAGGGCTAGTGGTGCCGGGAAGAGAATGAACATGTTTAATTCTGAAATATTAATCTGGAATAAATTAAATTTGCAATCTAAATCAGAATCAAATAATAATAAAAAATCTATCACCCATAATCAACACACACTATTATATTAATGTTGGGTTCCAACATTATTTTTTAAGTTTGCATCTGAAGTTTGTTTTTCATTATATTCCTCTCTTTCTTCTTGAAAAGAAAAATCAGCTGATACTATTTTCAACTCTTCAAGCAGCATTGGCTTTGATAAGTCAATTTATGTACTGTGTTTCATGGAGAAACCAGACATGTTGTTTGGCAAAGCATAATTATCATACTGAACTACAGAGGGAAGGAGGCCGAGATAAGGCATGCATGGTACACCACAGACATGCATGTCATTTTCTCTGTTTCAATCATAAACCTCTTCTTTGATGTAGCACTGCGAGTTCTCAACACCTCTTATGTTCCTATCTGAGGTGCTTGGCTCACGTGTACATTAGCCTCGATAGGAATTTCAGTCTGCATGAGAAGTGGCTTTTAAAAATGAACAGAAGTCTTTAGAAATACATACGGCTTCTATTGGATTTTCTTAGAGCAATCTTCAATGTAAATATAAAACCTCCACTGGCAAGAAAACACACTGAATTTCATCCCCAACCCCCCACATTAACAACTTTTACAGATAACATGAGGTTTAAAAAGTTTTTTGGTGTTTTGTGAAAATTAATATTAATTAATTTATTATTTGTACCCCGCCCATCTAGCTGGGTTTCCCCAGCTATTCTGGGCGGCTTCCAAGAAAGATTAAAAATACATTAAAATGTAACACATTAAAAACTTCCCTAAACAGGGGTGCCTTCAGATGTCTTCTAAATGTCAGGTAGTTGTTTGATGGAAGGGCGTTTCACAGGGAGGGCGCCACTACCAAGAAGGCCCTCTGCCTGGTTCCCTGTGGCTTTGCTTCTTGCAGTGAGGGAACCGCCAAAAGGCCCTCGGCGCTGGACTTCAGTGTCTGGGCAGAATGATGGGGGTGGAGATGCTCCTTCAGGTATACTGGACCAAGGCCATTTAGGGCTTTAAAGGTCAACACCAACACTTTGAATTGTGCTCAGAAACGTGCTGGAAGCCAGTGTAGGTATTTCAGGACCGGTGTATAGCCGTAAGATTTTATTTTTAACTACACCTGTCCTTCTCTTTACATTTCCTGCATACATACCCCAGCTTTCCTCCAAGGATCAGGGCAGCATAAAGAGGTCCCCCCCCAACCAACAGTTGTAGGCAGAGTAAATTCTAATGCATTTGCAGTGCAAAAATTCATTTTTTTTCTCAATCCCAAATGATTCATGCTCATCCTCAATATGCTGCTTTCAATCTAGATTCATTCTATATCCTGCCGTCCCGAAGGATGGTGTGATTACTTGATACATGTTTGAAAACCCTTCCCTTCATTAGGTAATCCATGCCTGTTGTTGTTTATTTATTATTATTATACCACCCTTCGTCCAAAGATCTCAGGGCAGTTCACCTCCTTGCACATTCCCCAGGGGAAGGAAGAAGGAAGTGATTATTGCAATCTTGGTATATATACCCATCCACAACATCATTAGTCAGGTGTCCCACTACGGATATTAAATAACTGCATTACGAATCTGCTTGTTTTATCACCTATTGCTCACTGTCCGTACTTTTTGCATTCAATTTCCCTCTGTTTACAATTATCTCCTACACACACACATACGAGCACACACAAACACACAAATCCCAAGTATACATATACATGCAATTTAGGACTATACACATATCTGATGGGAGTAGACTGTAGTCGATGCTGCAACACATCTAAAAGTCACCCTTGCATCAAAGTAGCATATAGATCACTCAGAAAGGAGCCCCTCCCTTCAAACCGATCCACAACCCACAACTTACAACTATAACTGTTTTTAATGGAATCATGCTAAAATAATAGACAGTTGCTTCTCCACCCACACACCCAACAGATATGTACAATGAATTACCTCCTTTGTATATCTGGAGGGAGGAAGAAAATGCTAGATTTCCCACTCCCAATTCCTGACCCTCTTTTGTTTTTCAGACTGAGAGGTCTAAACAAGCACTTGGACTGCACAATTAAACAACTTTCTGCCACTTCAAATACTTTGACCTCAAGAGCTCACCATGAATGAAAAGTTAATGAGCTCTGTATAGAGACATTACAGTAAGAGATTTATATTGCACAGGCTGGAGAGTTCATTGCATTCTTTTGTGCATTATGTGTTTGCTTTCAAATTATTCGATTGCTCCAAGAATTCATTTGCTGGAGGGGACCAGCTTACTGTCATATAATTTAGCCTCAGTCATACCTCAGATAATATTTTTATAAGGTCACTTTGCAGAAGTATGTCTAGCTTACCCAAATGACAATATTTTTTAAGCCAAAGGTTTCTCTTTGGGGATGGAAAAATTCCAGCTACTGTGCAGTTTAATGGGCAAAATGGACTGACTAAGAAAACATAATTTGTAGCAGAAACTGTTATATATATAGTGCATAATTAAGGAGCACAGAATGATTATTGGAAACGTGGCCTAACGTAGGCCCCAGCCAGAAAAGCCACAGAAGCAATGAGCTTCTGAGTTGCTCTATCCAATATTATTTTTGGAAGATTTAATCTTAACCAAAAATATGAATACACAACTTAAAAACACTTCTGAATATGATGGCTATCATATTAAAACACAGAGGCTAGTGGCCAAAGATTTGACTGGCTATTTCGAATCAATATGTGAAATTCAGCTCTCCAGCCTGTCGCTATCAGCTTTCCCAGGCCCCAAGGCCTTGCAAATGTATGTTTGGAGCCTCATAGAGAGAAAAAAACCAGGGGGAGGGAGCTAGCAGGGAGTTGGGGATGCAGCAGGTTGAAGCAACCCACACCCTGATTTTTCAAAGGCCTGGTGCTAAGGGCTTTAAACATCAAAACCAGCAATTTGAACCAGGCCCAAAATGGACTGGAAGTTGAAACTGCCACAACACAAGCATAGTACAATCATAAAGGCCATTTAGTAATCTAGCATGCATTACTAATAGCATTATCAGCGCTATTTTTTCCTAGAAAAAGAGGTGCCACAACTCACCATGATTTCCTCCCTTGTACTCTAATAATGGCAATGGCGTCCACCTGAGAGCCCTGGTCATTATTTACTGCAGAGGCTGCCCCAGGTGTACATCATTACTATAATCTAATTGAGAAGTTACCAGAATGTGGCAACAGGATAAATGACCACTAATGAAAAGGGTTTATAATGTCATGCACTCCACTTTTAAAATGTGTCTTTAATATGACTTGCAGAATAGTAGTCGCTATGCAGGTATGTACAAAATGTTACCCGCAAAGCAGCTACTTTGATGTTGAACGGAATTTAAACAGAAGCTGCAATGTTTAGAAATCCACTCCATGTTTTCCAAGCGCTTCCAGTTTGCTAGAATCTGAATCAACCCAAATTTATGCTTTGCCCTCCCATCTCTCCCCCTCAGACCCAGCCAGGCAGTCATCAAAGATTCTGGTAGGCCTCAATTTAAATACTTGTTTGATACTAACCTTGTTGCAATAAAACCATACTCTGTCTAGACCACTTCTCTGCATTTTTTTCTGGGTCCCTGAAGAATCTTACAAAAACAAAGTCCCCCTCAGTCTCTCAGCTTTCCTAAGAGGGACAGGCTGAGGATGTGGATTTCCTTCTAATACAGAGGGTAAAAGTGCTTTAAGCTGCGTCTCTCACTGGTTTAGAAGCCCTTAAAGTGACAGAGATGCCTCAAAGGTATTTGCTCCATATTTCAGACATCAAATTGGTTCCCAGACAGACAGACAGACAGACAGAGGTGGTATACTTTTATCCTTCTATCAACTGACTCCAAAACCCAACAGAAGGGAATTAAGCATACTGGACGAAGCCCAGAAGCTGGAGACCAGCATGTTCAGACTTTCTCCTGTTCTGCCAAAGGTGCTTTTGGTGATGCTTCTCTGGAAGAGAGTTCGAGAACAGACAGTGGAGCTGCAAAAAATGAGCTGGAAAAGTATTTACAGAATATACTTCAGAGAACAGTCTCAGTTATAGGAATTTTAGAATGTGCAGCTGAGGCAAGATAGAGAATGAGAAAAGATGCTGAGGAAGAGGGAGTGAGACATTTGAACATAGGATGCTGCCTTAAACCACATCACACCACTGTAATATTATCTACAGGCATCCAACATTTTTTGGCATGGCATCCCACAATTTATTTGGTATTGTGGCCTATCAATTTATTGTCACATGAATTTTAGACCTTGCATTTTTGGCTGTTTTATCATCATAAAATGATGACTTTAGTAGAGCACAGGAAAATGTGAGGTACGACATGTGAATCAGATATAGCTGTACTTCAAGCTCCTTCAGATCAGCCCACAGAAAGTGGAGGATGTGAGAATTGGGAGCAGGCGTTGTCTCTCTGTGTATACACACACACACATGCATTCTGCTTTTTCTCCAAGAAATGCAGCCACAACAAGCTGTGAAGTAGGTTAGACTGAGAACTAGCGACTTGTCCCAGGCCACCCAGCTAGAGAATGCTTTTCTGGAGTGGTTATGAAACATATGCTATGGCTGGAGTGGTGTGGTTTACCACACAAACAAGCAATCTGGTATGTGGCACAAAATTTGGCATCCTGCGATGCTCAGCTTATTTTTTTAAAAAAATATATTGTTGTCCTTTGCAGACTAGATCAGATCTGCATAGGGCCCAGTGACTCATCACAAATCAGATGAAGCTGAAGCGTCCACATGTTTATTAGCATATTTCCATATTGTTCCCAATTTTTCCACATTCTGTTCTGGGGATTCTCCAGATACTAAATCTCTGGATACTCCATTGGATGTTCCTGACCCTCCACAGGAGATTTTGGGAGGATGTGGGAGTGTGCAGGGGTAGGAGGGGGGAATCCCCCTGCGCTAGCTAGCAGGAATCATTGTGCTGGCTTCCACTAGTGCAACCAGAACCATCGAATCTCCTTGTTAATAGAAGTACTGTAGTAAACAAGGAGATTTATGCAGGATCATATTTCATTTCACTTTTTACCAATTGTGAAGCCTTCGTTGATTGTATCTTGTGAGAATCAATTCAGACAAGAAGTAAACGCTTAGCCTAGGAAACAATGTTCATCAAATATTTGTTTTCCATATGAATGTTCAGGAGCTGTCATATGTCTTATTTGCTAAAAGGACATAATAAAAATATGTTTTGCAACTAGTAGTGAGTAAAGATGCTGGTTTGACTGGTTACGGGAAACTTGCTGCTCCTTTTTTTCAGAAGGTTCTTGCATCCAGCCAAGAACAAGGAGTTGCTAGTTCAGTAACTACAATTCCAATGTCCACACAGTAACAAAGCGCTCCCATATGCTACAGGATGTTACTGTTCTCTGGGGCATTCTTTCTAAATCTAGCAGCTTCCAAGTCATCCTGATGTCTGCAGATTTATTGGGCTACTGCAAACAGGACTTGAATAAACAGAAGCATAAGATGAGACCTCACAAGCTGGAAAGGAAGATGGACACATAGTTCAAATGTGTAAGAGTCCCAGACAAACAGCAGCTCAACATGACCTGGCTGAAATATTGTGAGGTGTGTCTGAAACAAATGGAAATACTTTAAGGGACTCAAGGATAGACTCAAGACCACACCACATGGGTTATGCTTAATTACATTGATACAATTTCAGCACTTGATGAAAACTCATTTATTATCAGAGGATTTTTGCTTGCTTCTAATACGCATTAGGGTTTGTTTGTTTGTTTGTTTGTTTGTTTGTTTGCTTGCTTGCTTGCTTGCTTTTAAATTGCTGTTGTTGTAGTGGCCATTTCCCGCCCCCCGCCCAACTGTAATATGCCTACTGCCATGTTACTGCATATAACGTATTCCTAAATGCTCGGGATGATTTTGCAGCTAGCATGTCTTAATTCATTGGTTCCTTAAGCAAGGTGGTACTTTCTGTCAGTTACCCAACCTTTTAACAATCACATTCCTGATGTACTCCTAGTGGTATAATGTACCTCTAAAGATCAGATACTCCTTTATCAAGCTGTAGATATTTTCCTCAGAGTGGATGTTAACACAGAGAGACTGGAACCAACTAACCCTCCCAAAACCAACCAACCTCCCTCCTAACTATCTGAACTCCCTCTCAGAAACTGCTCCTTTTATTCTCCCTCACAAAGTGCTAGCTGTTGTGGCAGCCAATCAGAGAGAGGCTCTAGCACTCTGGTGGAAATCTGAGACTGGGGACTTAGCTATACAGCTGCAAATAAAATGTTTTAAGCATGTTTTAAAGTTCATTATACAAATGTGACACTAGAGGGCAATGGTGAGCTATGGCAAATTCAATATATATTTTTTCAAAAGGTTTGTTTGTTTGTTTTTTTAAAGGATTTTCACAGCGTTTTTTATATGTGTCTAGCTTCCACCTCTGCATCACCAGACTCTAGTCTGGCTCTGCTGTCTGCCACACCCCTCACCCCTATTTTATCCTCACAACACATGATCAGCTTTTATACATGGAACAGGGGAAGTGTGCCAGATTGTCCTTTACCTCAGGCAGCAAAATGTCTTGGGCAGCCGCTGACTCCTTCCTTGTATTCCTCTTAATATCCACCTTGAAAAAGGGTTTTGATTAACTTGAACTTGACTGTTTCTTTGTGATCTTTTACTTGGCCTCAACAAAGGCATTACTTGCACGACTACTTTTCCTTTTGGGCCAAGACAAGCTGCCTGCAATTTTTGCTCAGATAATTAATCCTCATGTTAATTGCTTAGCTGCTGTTAATTATGCAAATATGAAGATAAAGCTGACTGTTCAGGAATGGGAATAAAACCAAAGAAGCTAATTAAAACAAAACCTCAGGTTCTATGCAGGAAGAGCTAAGACAATAGTATAAAATTATAGAGTTGAGTAGTTTGGAAAATGAACAAATAGCTCAGGAGGGAAGCCAGCAGAGAGGCAAACCCCAAAGCAAGGATGCATTGGAAAGATCAAAGTGGAGACTTACTTAGTGATAGATGGATATTTTGTTGAGAGTCTGAATGATTTCCTCATGTCAGAACACACAAAAGGAAAGAAGATAAGAGGCCTGGTAACTCTGGCTTGTTTTCCTAAGCTTTGGGGAGTGAATTGTTGAAAGGCTTTCCCTTCATGCTACAGCAGATAAGGAGGCAATTAGAACTACTGAAAGCTAACAAAGTACTAGAGCCAGAAGATTTAAATCACCAAATCATGAGAGCAGGCAAGCTACAAAGTGCATCTTGCCCCAAATATTTGTGACAACTTATTCATGAAACATGGCTGGAGAGATACTGTTGCTGCTTTTGATCTTTAATAAAAACAAAATGAAGGAGCCACAGAATATATCTCCAAGGTATGTGTGTGTTCATATATGATGAACAAGGGGCACTGCATGTTTGAGATGATGCAAGGAATAAACAGTTGAAGATTTTGTAAAAAGAAAAAGATTAGGTACATCTGGGAATACATGCACACCAAGAGACCCATTTTGAAAAAGGAAATAATGGGGGGGGGGTAGAATTTGAGGTGTGTTTTAAAGCATTTCCTAAGTTTTAATGTGAACACCCACTAGATATCTTGAGTACCATCTACAGTGACTTCACCACATTTGCTGCTCAGCCACTCGTAATAGTTTGTACTAGTAAGTTTTACATTTTATTTTATAATAATTTACACAGATTCTAACACTTAAATTGTCTGTAAGGCATGATTTGGGGGGCACATTTGCAGAGAGAAGAGAGAAGCCTCCCTTTTCACACATTACACTCATGATAACGATGGGGGGCTCACAACTGTAGTTCATTAAGGAAAAGCAGAAGTTGAGGTTAAATTTCAAACATGTATTTTCATTTCTTACTTGGGCAGCTCTTCCACTGACATTTATAAATTGGGTACTAATAAGATTCAAGCTTCCAGGTGTAAGCAGCACTTCGGCATAACTGTTGGGACAGGTATTCATTTAGATCCTATCTTGAGATTCATTTTGCTAATGCTCTTGTTTTGATCTGTTCTCTCCTCACTGTTTCCTGACTTCTCACATTCTTCAAGGTCAGGCCATGCCATCTTGGGGTCATCTGAGCCTAGGGGTAGAGTGTGGGGTGCATGATACAACTTCAAAACAATCAGCTGTATTTAAGAGAAAGGGTATCTTGAGTAGTCTCAGGTGCAAATGGCTATATATAGGTGATGTCGTATCTAAACCTATAATCATGTTTTGCTTGGGGCTTCTTGAGCAATAAGGCCTGCATATTATAAATCAAAGGGCAACTGCGAAAGAAGACTATTCTTCTGCTAATTTTTTTTTAAAATAAATGAATTGATTTGTGTAAAGGCATTGAGGATAATTTCAGACTCCTAGCTGAAGAGCAAAAGAAATGGGGGCAGGAAATAGGCCTTGAAAGGCTAAGCCAGCCTTCGCCAACTTGGTGCCCCTCCTGATGTTTCACCATGAAGCTCCCATTAGTCCCAACCAGCATGGTGCGTTCGCTGGGGGGCAGGTAAACCCACAAATGCAGAGGAACAGCTAGAAGCATTAGAATTACAATTGTTCCATTCAGTACCTTTTCAATTTTGAGCCATTTGCAAGTCCCACTGGGATTGGTTTTACTGAGTTAACACCACTAAGACTTAGATATTAGATAGATATTATATTAGATATTATATTATTTTGTTTGTTTTTAAAGACAACGCTAGTTTTGACCCGCTCCGGCCACCCAACCCATTTCTCATTTTATAAATATTTTACATTTTACAAAAACATTTACATTTTACAAAAAAACACGAAATCTTTACATAATCAATCTGCATTTCCTGCGATTTCTCTCCTTTCTGTGGTTGCTTATTTTATATCTTTTATTACTGCATATCCAGTTCAAACCTGTTTACCTGTATTCTCTTTTAGTTATTTCTTACTGTGCATGTTTATGTCAGTCCTGCTAATGTTTTAAGTTGTTTACAATACATCTTCAAATAGTCAATAAATTTTCCCCATTCTGTTTTTATAAGTCTCTTTTCTTGGTTTCTTATTCTTCCAATAACTTTCACCATTTCTGCATATTCCAGCAATTCTAATTG